GGTTCGAGACCATCTGGTGGCGATGACGAGACCAAGGCGAGGTCGGAAATGCAGTCCAATCAAACCTGGAGAAGAATACCTTTTAAAAATGTGAAGCCAACTCATTGGAATTTGGGAAAATTTAGCTACCAGTCCTTCGTAGATACGAAGAGAAAGTTGGCTTCGATGAATTTCCTCTTCTTGCTTTAGTGTTAACGTGAGACTTTTACAAGAATGACACTCAGCTCTGATGATGTCCATCATTTGATGGAGGAAAGCTCAGCACATTTTCACCCGAAACGAGGGAGAAAGTCAAGTGGAGTGCGTCAACATGAATATCGTATGAGAGCAAAACGGCTGCAGTACAACGAGGTTCTTCCGTCCTCATCTGGTGAGATCGACCAACGAATCTTTTCTTCATACACCTTCATTCGAAATTAAGGTCCCCCTAACATTATCACTTCTTCATCACATTAAACGAAATAGAGTGAGGATATTTCTTGGGGGACTTTTAGGCAGCCTAAGGTCAAACTATCCTGCAGAAAAGAAGATGCTTCTAGAATGAAGAATCTCAAAGTCCACATTAAAGATAACTATAAAGCATTTTTCGTTATGATTAGGCTTTCGAAAAGATTAAGTAGTTATATTATCCTCCTTCCCTTAGACCCAAAAATGTTTGCCCTTTGAGTTTTGCACTTGACAATGAGGGAAAGGCGACCAAGACAATTCTAGTGGAGGTGATAAATAAGCGAATCGAAACGGGAGCTAGAAATGGCGATCATTAAACAATTTTGGTACATCAGAAGCTTAGGAATAGGAAGGATATATAGAAGATTTAAAATAAGGTACAAAATAGTTATAAAATAGACAGAGGAGGTGATGGGCAGAATAGAATTTAGAGCGAGCTTTCTGTGCTCGATCAGAATTCGGGTTATATATATTTATATAGTTTTACTTGATACTACTTATATGTTGACAGTAGTGAGGCTCCGCTTTATGATAAAAAACATGTCATAATTCCGCTTGTTTTCCAGAGTATATCAGTTTGGCTCGCCATCCTGATTATGACCTAATTTTGAACAATCCTAGACACCCTTAACCTACACACGATTTATCATATTTTCGGAATGTGGATTAGAGGTGACTTTAATTGTAAAAGCATTGGACAGATTGGTTGGCTGGCTGGCTGGTTGAGGCGCGATTCAGCCTGCAGAGTGATTAAATTCATAGTTCGTAGGTTTCGAAACTTTCGGTAGATTTGAGGGATTGTCCGGGCGATTAGTCAGCAGCCAGAGAACCAGATCCTTTGCGGAGAATCGCATATGTTATTGTTTGATTAAAGGAGTCGGGCGCTCCAAGCATACCCCCGAATCGAATCAAGAGGACAGCTGTCTTGAGCATATGCGGGCGTCGCTCCCCTCCTTCTCTCCTCGCCACATGACTCTTGTCTGTACGTGTCTATAGTTATGTTTGTTGTGTGCACATTTCATCGCTTCAGTGTCTGTGGCGATGATGAATTGGAATTAGCAGTGGTACAGCTTCGGTATGATTTCAAGTGCGAGTATGTGCCGGTTTGGGCAGAGACTGGAGTGTTCGAGAGACCGTTCAATCACGAGGCAATTTGCAATCCCCTCTTCATTCGTCTGCAATTGACTGGAAATTGTTTACTCACCGTCCCGTCTGGTCAAGGCTGGGCCGGCTTTCGAGACCGGCCGGCCGGTTTTTCGCTTCAGACTTTCGTCTGACACCAACCCAAGCTGGAGGAGAGCCTTTTCCTGTCAGCCCAACTCCTGACTTTGACTCGAAAACCCTTTAGAAGGCCGAGTCTCCGACAGCCAAATGCAGTTGTTCTCTACACGCCAGCTCAGTGTTTCTAGCCTCAGGAGGCAACCGGCAAGTGATGCAAGAGTGTAAGTGTGTACGCACCAAAGACAGGCAAAAGCAATATTGTTGTAAGGTGAATGGAAATTGGGGCGGATCAGCAATTTGGACGCAAAACCGGAACTGACTGGACCCGGTCGGCGATACTTTGGCGGGCATCTGGCGTCGAAATTAATTAAAACAATTAATCATTTATCGAGACTTATCCGATTTGAGATTGCTTCATTTCTGCTCACAGCCAAGAGAGAGAGAGAGAGAGAGAGAGAGAAAGAGAAAAGGCGAGAGAGCAATTTCGAGAGGAGGTAGGATGAAAATATTATGAGATAAGGTGATGGTGAGGCAAGACATAGACATTGGGAAGAGGAGTTTAGACAGAAACGAGTGTATGAAATGGACAGGCACACATGTGGGTATTTCATGTCAGAAGTGTGCGCATGGATGGCTGTCAAAAAGTGTGTGTGCATACGAAATTGCCAGTACGTGGCTGAAGGATTAGGCAACAGAAGTTACTTTAATTTTGCTTTCCCATATGAGGGCAGTAGAGTGTGGCTGAGAGCTGCACAGGTCATGGTGATGGGCTGAGCACGGTTGCCGGTTATTGGTAGTGGTACGGGAAGGGGGTTGAGGTCT